GTATATCTTCCATACCTCTGATTGTTTAGATGCGATTTTTTATATAAGTATGTAACTCCTCTATCGATGTATGCAGATGTATTCAAAAGCAGTAATCTGTCAAAGTAAAATTTGCAGATGTTCATGAAAGGTATGAAGCCTTCGGCATAGCCGAAGACAGCGCTGCTCTTACTTGTTTTCTTTTCATTTGCGTACGTAATTACAATAAATAATTACTGAATTCATCAAAAAAAAGTTAATAGCAATAACGCTTTCAAAACTTCGACTTTTGCAGAATTGCTCAAATTATATTTTTTTGTGTGGTTGTTAACCGAATAAAGTGATTTGTGCGAAAAAATCTTGACCGTCCAATTTTGGAAGATGCAAGTTCGAAAAGTGAGAAAAACTGGGAAATGTTATTTGGAATGTTCTCTATCGAATGTGACTCTTTTTTATGTTTCCTTCGAAGTTTGTTAAATTGGTTTTTGGCCGCCTAGATCGTTCAAATACAGCTATGTGCATTGATAGATAAAGTCAAGCAACCAGTTTTGTTCTTTACTATCGAAACCAGATAAATTGTCGTGGACCCACACTTACAACTCGTGAACCCCTATTTTTTTATTACGCCAATGTAGGCCCCCGTCGAGTCTCCCGTAGACCCTGGGGGTTCACCTGGACCACTTTGGGAATCACTGAGGTAGATTATGACTAATTTTGCGTATTCCATGTACATATCGCCGTCTTCAAAAGAGGCACAACACAAAATTTGGGATTTATGAAATTATGCGCTAAAGATGTACACAGAGCTTTTATTTAGCTTTCAACAAAAGCTGGAGCAAATTTTTGTTATAATTTGTTAAAAAAAAACCTAAGGTAGTCTCCCTTGCCCATGTGATTATCATATGCCTTAGCAGTTTTCCGGATTTTCTGAGAAACATGTAATTTTGAGTTGTGCCCCTTTTGAAGTCGGTGTGCGATATATATTTTATGTCCTTTGCTATACTATCTGGACAAACAAGAAAGCGAGTAGATATAAAATAATAAATAACATTTTTTTTTGCTTTTTGGAAAATGGGCTTATGACTACAAAAATAAGTGTATCTTGGTAACCACTTCATCGACTTCTACCAAATACGGTGATGACTGTTATATGCGATCTCTGGTAAAAATCCTCATAAATTTATCTTTGGAGCCTGATTTCCAAAAGTTTCTATTCCAAAAGCGATTTAGAGAAATTACCACGACTTTTTTTTTAATTTTATTACGCGGTGTTATTTTCTAATTTTTTGCACAAACTTTCATGTTAATAAATTCAAATAGAACTTTACTCCTTTGCAGACTCTCTACAAAGCTGAAAACAAGTTGCTTTTTTGGCTTCTTATCCTACTTGCTGCGTTGGTTGCCTTAACGATTCTAATATTATTGTTATGCTGCATATGTCCATGGTGTCCTCTATACGGAGGTGCAAGGTAAGTTTTAAATTGTATATACAGTAACTGTCTATTATAATCGCCTCTTTAAAAACATTTATGTATTCACAAATACCCACGATACAAGCAACCACTTAAAAAGAAATCTCCACTCAAAAGCACCAGAAATTAATGATTCTACTGTCTATAAGCTGTGAAAATACGTATATTTATACCCGAGCGCACTTGTGCACAAGGGTATTATAACTTTGTTCACATAACGGTTGTTTGTAACAGGCAAAACGAATCGAGATAGATATAGACAAATGTATACATAAATGATCAGAATGAAAAGAGAAATCGATTAAGCGGTGACTGTCTGTCCGTCCGTCCTGTGCACACGATAACTCGAGTAAAAATTGAGATATCTTAACGAAACTTGGTACGTGAACTTCTTTTGGGCATGGGACGGATGGTATTGAAAATGGGCGAAATCGGACAATAACCACGCCTACC